GAAGATCAGCCATGATCTTACTGAATGGCGGGGCAGGCTCAAAGGGCCGAATGGCCTACTCCTGCTCCTAATTCCTATGTTCCTAAGTAGGATCCTGCAAAGTGCTTTGAGACGTATTCCTGAACTGAAAGGCCCTATATAAATGTAAAGTTGTTGTTGTCCTGTAATATAACCAAGGCAGTGTGGACAACAGTGGTACAGCGTGGGACCACTTCTTAAGCACAAACAGTCCAGGGAAACAAAATGGGGTACCTTTTTCTGAAGGAATGTGACTTCCACCATCCAATTTGGGTCAGAATACGCAGGAGAACTGCATGGTTCAGAGAAGGGGGCATTAATTCAAAATTTTGGTCATCCTCTGGGGCTGGGGAAAGCATTGGTGAATTAGGCTTGAAGGAATTCGGGAACAGTGGATCACCTTTTGTCTTGACGGTTTGGTGGCTGCTACTTATTTCTATTCTGTTATAGGTTGAGTAGATATAGGGAGAGAAGCACTTCAATTCAATGGAAAAGTTTTTGCACTAGGTTTGCACCAAGGCAGCTTCAATTGTTTCTTTATTGTGATTACTGGTTTACTTTCTTGAAAATAAAAAGAAATACCATTCATGAAAAAAAATGTTCACACGACCGCCTGAAACTCATCTTAAACTGACAGGAATGCTTGGACAGTAAGTAAGGTGTGAATCCTGTAAGGATGAGACCAAATGGGATGAAGAACCTTCTTTGTCCAAATCACTCTCATGTTGTTTTGGGAGAGGTCCACTGAATAGAAAACACCAGATTCAGACCCAGGTCAGGAAAATAATTTGATAGAACTTGTCTATGATAAATTAAAATGTATAGTAGCCTTTGCAGAACTGCTAACCCCCACAACACCAATTACAGCAGCCTTCCTTGGAATAATACTCTATCCCGACAATGTTCCCAGCTAGCATTCCACCTTTTATTGTGCATTCACCACTCTGCAGATATAAATACAGGAGTTACTGCAATATCTTGGCCACGACTTAAATCAAAAATACTTGTCGTGGAAAAAAATATCTGCGCAGCTTTGTAGCAAGGCTGAAATATATTGAATGCCGTTATTTTAATAGCATTTAATAGGCTGGCCGGGCAGCCATTGCTAATCCTTGATGAGATTTTGCGTTGCAGGAATTTATAACTCTTTAAAAGTGGTGTAGCATAGTCCTGATAGAGAGGTGCTCAGTGCCCCTTCAATTGAACAGCACAGAAACCTAGTGTTATTAATAATCCTTGCATTTGATATGACTCCTTATCTCATCGTTGAAATTTCAAATCACTTAGCAGGATTTACCATAAATTATAATTATAGTCTGCTGAATTATAGGAATTTCACTGTAAAATGTCATGCCTGTGAATTTTGTAGGTGAAATTGGCAGCCAATTTGTGTATAGCAGTGTTCCACAAATAGCCACAAAGTGAAAGACCAACTATTATCTGGGGCATTGTTGTCCAGGATATTAATTGTTATTTTTCAACGATAATTGTCACTTTTTCACGTAGCATTGAAATAATGATTGTTGCATTTGATAGATACATTTTCCTGAAAATGCATGTCTGAAAGAGCTCCACAGGTAATTGCTGTCATGTGTAATTTGTAGGCAAACCTTGAAGCCTAATGCACATTACTAAGGAAATTCAATGGGAAATAATAATAATAATCCTTGCATTTGATATAGCACCTTTCACGTCGTCGAGCAGTTCCAAAGCCATTCACAGGATATAATTACATTTTCACGGGATATATACACACACATATATATATATATAAAATTTTCAAATGTTCATTAAAACCAACTAAAGAAAGTCAGAAATTATCTACATTCTATAGGAGAGGAAGATGCAGTTAGTAGTAATTTAACTTTCCATGGGTCTACACTTCATTATATCACTAGCCTTGTTTCAAAAAGGAGTCCTGTAAAGTACTGGTTAGAACACTCACGCAAGCGAGAGGTACCGGGTTTGCTTCCCGGGCAGGGCTAAACCTGAGTTAAGTTTCCTTAATCCACGTGCCTCTGTTTACCTAGCAGTAAGTAGGAACCTGGTTGTTAAGACAATTGGTGGATCACTTTCCTGGAATATTAATCCCTTCAAAAAAAAATAATAATTTGGTCACTCAATCCACGACTATTTGTGGGATACTGCTGTGCAAAATTGGCTGCCACATTTCACTCATAAAATATACAGTCAATCCACTTCACAGTATATTCCGTGAAGGGCTTTGAGACGTCTCAATGACGTGATAAGACACTATATCAAATGCAATGATTATTATTATTATACTGTAAAGTGGAATGACTGTGTATTTTTGTGAGCGAAACACCCAATTGCGCACAGCAATAGCCCACAAACAGCCATGGCGTGAGTGACCAATTTTTATTTGGGGGATTGTTGGTCAGGACATTGGGAGAAACTCCCTTCTGTGTTTGAATAGTGGCACGGGATCTTTAACGTCCATCTGAACACGAACAGGTAGACAGGATCTCGGTTTAACATCTCATCCAAAGGATGGATACTTAAATTCACGAAAATAATCCACATGGGTCTGTGTTTACTCTTTATGTAGCATTTTAAGACGTCTAGAATTTTGAAAATTGTTGAATTCAAATGCAACTTTGAAGCCTTTTTTGCTGTTCTTAAAATAAACTTAATGGAAAATAATAAACTTGAAAATTAAGGCTGAACGTGAAAATTTGTCAAAAGTCTGGACTCCTAAAATTCTAAATGCAATACAAATAGAGTAAATCTAGACCCAGGTGGAATATGCATGTCTAAGTCTTAAACGTTCAAGACAATGAGTCTGAGGCTTAATGTCTTGAGGATTTTCTGGCTATCAATGCTTTCCTTCTGCATCTTAGAACCCTTCCTCCTGCTATCCAAAAATTGCTAATCAGAGCTTTTCAGGTGAAAATCAAACTCATAAAAATCATCACCTCAAACTTCCAACAGGGCATTTTCTCTGCCATTGCTCTGGTGATGGGATCAACATTATTTAATTCTGCAGACATTGAAATGTCGTTTTGGTCTGTTTGTCAAAGATCACATAGAAAGAAAATGTGAGCAGTGATGCAGTAAAAGCATTAATCACTTGCCCCTTCTGCACTGCTGTCTGAAGCTGCATTTCCAGAGTACAACAGCTTTCCTGGACAACTTGAAACACACTTAACCAGGAAGACTCTGCATCCTGTTCTGAAGATGGCTGAATGACTGCACTTCAATACAATACAAAATTACATTTGTATAGTGCCTTTCACGTGGGGAGGACGTCTCAAGGCGCTGAATCATATTATAAGCATTGTGAATCACAATCACAATGCTTAGAATATTGCTGGTCTGTGGAGCACAGTAGAAACAAACCATATCTCAGTGGAAAAGAAGGGACAAGCAGAGAATGAAACACCATACAAACAATGACGTCTGTGGAATAGTAGATTTCTGTACCACTCATGAACTTCAAAGGCAATGTGGCCAACTCCATTTAGCCTCAGGGGACAGCTTATAGAAGTATTAAAGATCCTTAAGGACGATAGAGAATCTACACCCTAATTATATGCTTAACAGAAGGTGAAGAGTCCATTCGGAATGAATTTGTTTGAACAAAGTGGATGATATATGGAACAATCCAGGGAGGATTGGGAGGAAACAAGATTCCACCATCAGGGGTCGCACTTCCAGCCCCTGCGCCCCGAAACTCTGGAACATTCTCCCTCAATCCCTCCAGCTTCCCTCCATTCTCCACTTTTTCAAGTCGCGCCTGAAGACCTTCCTCTTTGACCGTGCTTACAGCCACCTCCCCACCCACCACCGGCTCGGAGTCAGGCTCTGCCACTGTTAAGCACTCTTGAGACGTTAGCCTGCGTGGAGGGCACTATATAAGTGTAGGTTGTTGTTGTACTGCACTATCATCAAAAGGCAAAATATTGCAGATGCTGGAAATCTGAAATAACAACAGACGACCTTTTGTCTGAACTGTCGAAAGGTCATCAACCTGAAAAGTTTACTCACGTTACCTCTCTCCATAGATTCTACCTGACCTGCTGAATGTTCCCAGAGACTTCTGGTTTTATTACTGTCATAGTCATATTGCTGGGCTGGAGATTTGGCAATGGAGAGAGGGAGAGAGAGAGAAGTAGCTGTGGAACTAAGGCACCTTTCATATCGGGAGATCATCTCAAAGTGCTTCACAGGATTTCTTGTTGAGTATAGTGACTGTGTATTTGGGAAGCAGTCAATTTGCGCACAGCAATGTCCCACAAACACTCGTGAAGAGATTGACCAATTTTATCTGGAGGACTGTAAATCAGGACACCAGAGGGGACATTTGAGTTTGAAATTTGAGATACAGCCTGCAGGTTTCCAGATTGTACAGCTTACTTTACTAATGGTTAAGGTTCGCATTTGACCAAACTTGTATTTCATTCAATGAAAATCCAAGAGAACACAATAAAATGATATCTCCAGTGGGTAACTTGAGCAATTTAACACCACTGACAATGAACAACACTTACAGTTTTTTTTCCCCTAACTCAACAGTCACAGAGCACAGAAGACCTCTGGAGCCAACATGGCTCAAGGTGAGGGCTTAAGTGGTTGCAAACATCTGTTATTCCCAATATGCTAACCAGTCTTCAAACCACTGTGTGTGATGATTGGGAAGGGGATGTTGCAGCCAACCAGTTTGCCTGCTGCCTCTCTGGAATGTTGTTTTCCCCTCGGATTTGTATTCACTGAGTTTTCAACAATCTCCTGAGTTTGGCGGGAAGGGGGAGAAAAATCAGACACCTGGCAAAACATTCTGCCCTTGACAGTGCCAGTGCATGCAGATGTTTTTGCCTTGTGCGGCAACTCAAAAACATACTTCATCACTCAAATGATATGTTAAAAATGTTCAAATAAATTAAATAGGCTGCTGTAAAGGAGAACAAAGTCATTAATCCAAATTCACACCTGGTGAGTAGAATATTTGCCAATTTACTCACTCGCTTCTGCTCTTTTGTGTATTCCAGCAGATCCTCTCTAGCTTTCTGAACAGCCTCTTGTATCGCATTCTCACTACTTCGTCTTTCCTGCCTTATCGCTTCCCTTGTCACTTCCTAACGAAGAAACAAAAAGGAGGCCATTAATGTTCAACAAACCCAGCCAGGCACACATGCAAGATAACAACAAAAGAAAGCAATTAAAGGGCAGACGATGAAAAAATTATTTACATGTGATTCAGCAATAAACAGCAATCTCATATATATGCACCTATCACTTCGGGAGGATGTTGCAATGCACTTCATACAACTGACAGAGCCCGAACATGGGAAGGAGCTGAAGAGAGGAAAGGTGGCCACAAATGCAGTCAGAGCTGGGTTTTAAAATGGGTTTTTGAAGGTGGGAGAGGAGGGGGTAAAATGGAAGGACTCTGGGGATGGAGTTCCAGAGTGGGAGCACAACGACGATGCTGGGATGGATGACAGGAAGCAGCCTTGTTTGAATTAAAAATCAACACAAGATGCAAATGTCATATCCTGTACTTACAATGTCACCTCCAGGGCAATTCTGCACAAACTTACAATGCACCTTAGTACAGGCCCTCGCTTCATCATAGGAACAAAGTGACCTGCCCAGTAGCAAGAGGAGTGAATGGATCACAGAAATGTCAGCCCGGCTCAGCTGGTAGCACTATTTCCTCTAAATCAGAAGGCTGTGGGTTCAAGCCTCAAATAAGGACTTTGAGTTCATTGTCAAGGCTGATGCTCCAATGTAGGTGGAGTTAGAACAGATCAGCCATGATCCTATTGAATGGCGGGGCAGGCTAGAGGGGCCGAATGTCCTACTCCTGCTCCTAATTCTTATGTTCTATGTAGTGCTGAGGACGTGCTGCATTGTTGGACTGCTGTCTTTTGGATGTGAAGTTAAACCGACATTAAAGTTCCCATGGCACAATTTGAAAACAGAAGGGAGTTTCACCAGTGTCTTGGCCAATAGTCTCCCAGGTTTCTCCCAGACAATTAGTCATTCACTTCATGGCTTGTGGTGCACAAATTCACTGCCACGTTTGCTTAAAAAATACATAGTCACTACATTTTACAATAAATCTGTGATAACACTTGCAAACGTTTTTACAGTAAATTGTGAAGCATTTGCAAATGTTTCAACAATGTGAAAATAAAATATGCTCTGTCAAATGGAAGATTAATTATGATTACATATGACACAGGAAGAAGTCGTATGGCCTAATTTTTTATGTTGGTGTTTGATCTTCCAAAGAGCCATCCATCTTAATCCCAATTCCCTGCTTTTTCCCTATGCTCTCTCATAGCCTTTCCAACCCTTGTTCGTATCCAACTCTAAATACCCCAATCAACTTGGTCCAACAACAAATGTCAAATCACTCCATTCCCTGAAAACCTTCTGGGAGAATAAATTCTTCCAATCCTCTCCCTTTTTCTCCCCAGGGTTTTTTTTAAAAAAAATCTTCCTTTTGCAACTCCCAATTGATCCTTTGAGTTAAAAACAATTCTGATTCTCACTTCAAATTTTAAGCTTCTGGCCTCCGGTTACTCTTTACCTTGCTTTTGCTCCTCTCTTCTGCCAAAGCTTGCTGGATCACTTGTTCCAATTTTTCTTGGTCCTTCCGGTGCTCAGCCTCCCATAACTCTCTCTGCTCCGACTGGATCTTTTCCATCCTTTCCCTCTCCTCTTGCACGGCTTTCAAAACAGCCTCCTTAATGATTTCCTTTTCTTCCTATGTAACAGAGCATTGTTCAAAAAGAACTTTTGTAAAACAAAATTATCAAAAGATACTTTAAACCAAATATAATACCACATAAAAATTCATGACCGTATGCTAAATAAAAGATCAGAGTAACAAATGTTGTACGTTCAGAAACTAAACGTGTTGAAGGCCTGCCAACTTCAACAGGAATCAGATTACAAATCTGGAAAGCGATGTTTCAAAAATTTTGTTGTCCCTTCCTTGCCAATAATGCAAACTTTTCTTATTACAAATATTACCAAGCGTGTGATGGTGGAAAAATGGCTGCCACTGGCAACCACTGAGACAGTCTACAATTTCAAGGGTACAGCAAATTGTGTAATCCGTCAAACGTGACAGCAATACCATTACCCAAAAGTAAGTGATGAGGTTAGTCATTAATTGTTACTCTGCACTCGTAATATTAATTTAAATTTCCATGGGTCTACATATCAGTATATCACTAGCCTTCGTTTCAAAAGGGAGTCCTGTAGCGTACTAGTTAGAGCACTCACTTCGCAAGCAAGGGGACCCGGGTTTGATTCCCGGGTGGGGCAAAACCTGAGGCACGTTTCCTTACTCCACACGCCTCTGTTTACTGAGCAGTAAGTAGGAACGCAGTTGTTAATCGATTGACAGATCGAGTTAATCTTCCCTCAGAAGAAATTTGGTCACTCAATCCAGTGAGACACTGCTGTGTGCAATTGGCTGCCATGTTTCAGTCAATCCACTTTACAATATATTCTGTGAAGAGCTTTGGGACATCTCAACAATGTGATACGGTGCTAAATCAAACGCAAGAATTATCATTATTATATCTTCACTGAGTACTGATGCTGAATGGATGATGAGGTGCAAGATTGGCAAGGCAGATAAAGTTTATTCCTCCTATCCAATGATATTTAAAAAAAGGTTAATTTCTCGCTTCTCAACTTATTTCACCTCTGAGGCTCAAATTACTTTTCCAATTACTAATAAGTTATAGTCACTAAATACTGAGTTCAAATAAAAGAGGACAGAGTTGGGAGCCTGGATTTCAGTCTTTCATTCCCTTTGCATTTTCTTTTTATCACTGTCTCCAGTTTGCGGGTATTAGGGCAGGAGGAGGGAAGTGATGGAAGATAAAGAGTCAGTAAGAAACAATGACAACAACAAATGTTCAGAGCATGTTTAAAGGCACTGGGTTTGAACCCAAACTGGGGATGGAGCCAAGATGGGGTGGGGGGGGCAAAATGACTGCAGGGCAGTCAAGCATGGCATGCAAAGAAAAGGATGTAAAGTTTGATTTTGTTGTGCCTTTTATCTTATTGGTTCACTTCACTGACACCAAGCCCCATGTTGATACCGATGGACATGTGTTGCATTTTGCTTGTTAATCTGAAAATAAATAACATTTCATCCCCTTAAAGAAAAAAATACCTTCATGATTGCTTCCACAGTCTCTTTGCTTCGTTGCCTTTCTTCAACTAAACCTTTTTCCAGTATTTCCTGTAAATAGTGCATCAGACAATCAATTACTCTGGTTAACTAATGTCAAACACAAAAACTGGTATACAATAAGTAAAAAATAGCTTTCATAAAGTGTTAACACGTACCTTGTGTTCCTGTGTTTGTTCCACCAAGGCTTCCTTCACTCTATCTTGCAATGTCACTTTTTCTTCATCCAACATGTCAAGGAGCCGTTGGTGCTGGAAGATCACAGACGAGAAATTTCGCATCAGTGCAAATAATAATAATACTTGGATTTGATTTAGCACGTTATGCCATTGAGATGTCTCAAAATACTTCACAGAATATACTAAAAAGTGAATTGACTGTATATTTTGTGGATGAAACGCAGCAGCCAATTGCCCACTGCAGTGTCCCACAAATAATCGTAGATTTTTAGTGACTGAATTATTATATATTTTTTGAGTGATTATTATCCCCGGAAACCAATCCGCAAATCGATTAACAACCAGGTTCCTGCTTACTGCTAGGTAAACAAAGATGTGTGGAGTAAGAAAACTTGCCTAAGGATTCGCCCCGAATGGGAATCAAACACGGTTCTCTCGCTGGTGAGGTGAAAGCACTAACCACTATGCTACAGTACTCCACAAATCACATAACATTCAATAACACACAGAGCAAGAAACTATTGTTTTCTAGTTCATAACAAAATATTATAAGAGAAGCAAGAATGCTGCCCTCCCTTGCCCAATTGGACATTGACTGTGCCTCTCACTTGCCAAAGGTGTCCCAACTTCTGCCCCACCTGAGGTCAGCTAACTCAGCACAATCCAAGATCAAAACATGTGGCGTATCTGGCTTATTGCTGCAGTCTTCATCCACTGAGTCCTTTGGAGAGCTGAGAGCAAATCAGCGCTAGTAGCTGCTCAAAAGCAAAATGCCACATGATGTGGTATCCCACCATCATTCTTCTCACATAATAAAAAAATTACAAATGTCATTTAAATGTCTTTCAGAAATAGGTAAATATAGGAGAGGTACAGATTAAATGAACCATATAATCAAGCTCCACCAGTGTAGGCTTTCAGTCACTTATCATAGAATCATACAGAACAGAAAGAGGCCATTCGGCCCATCGAGTCTGCGCTGGCTCCAAAAAGAGCAATCCAACTCAATCCCACTGGCCCGCTTTCTCTCTAGCCCTGCAATCCTGTCCTCCCCAAATACCCATCTACTTCTCTCTTAAAAGAAGTTATTGAATCGACTTCCACTACCCTTTCAGGTAATGCATTCCAGATCCGAAAAACTCGCTGGGTGAAAACACTTTTCCTAACCTCCCCTCTGTTTCTTTTAACAACTAACTTAAATCAGTGTCCTCAAGTTACTGACCCAAATTTTTCCCAGTTCAACCTATCAAATCCTCTTATGATCTTGAAAACCTCTATTAAATCCCCTATTAATCTTCTCTGCTCTAGGGAGAATAATCCTAGTTTCGCTAACCTCTCCTCATAACTAAGGTCCTTCATTCCTGGTACCATCCTGGTAAACCTCCTTTGCACCCTCTCCAATGCCCTAACATCTTTCCTAAAGTGCAGTGTCCAGAACTGAACGCAGTACTCCAACTGAGGCCTAATCAGCATTTTATAAATATTCAACATAACCTCCTGACTTTTGAATTCTATGCCCCTATTTATAAAACCTAGTATCCCATATGCTTTTTTAACAGCTTTATCTACCTGTCCTGCCACCTTCAGAGATTTGCTCTGTTCATTTGTCCCCTTTAAGATTGTACCATCAGCTTATACTGCCTCTCCTCATTCTTCCTACCAGAATGCAACACTTCACATTTCACCACACTAAACCTCATCTGCCATGTTTCTGCCCATTTTACCAATCTGTCTAAGTCCTCTTGGTGCTATCCTCCTCACCATTAACTACTTTTTCTAGCTTAGTATCGTCGTAAATTTGGAAATTGTGTTCCCTATATCCAGGTCCAGATCATTAATATAGATCAGAAAGAGCAGTGGTCCCAATACCGATCCCTGTGGGACACCACTACACACCTCCCTCCAGTCAGAAAAGCAACAGTTTACTACCACTCTATGCTTTCTATCTCCTAGCTAGTTCTGGATCCATGTTGCCACAGTCCCTTTAATACCGTGGGTATTAATACACTTTGTCAAATGCCTTTTGAAAATCAAGATAAACTACGTCTACTGCACTAACTTCATCCACAGTCACTTCATCAAAAAATTCTATTAGGTTTGTCAGACACGATCTCCATTAACAAATCCGTGTTGCCTGTCCTTTATTAAACCACATTTTTCTAAGTGAGAATTTATATTGTCCCGGATTATAGTCTCCAGAAGTTTCTCTACTACTGATGTTAGGCTGATTGGCCTGTAGTTCTCAGGTTTATCCTTCTGCCCCTTTTTGTACAGGAGAGTAACATTTGCAACCCTCCAGTCCTCTGGCACCACTCCAGTGTCCAAAGAGGATTGAAAGATTGTGACCCGCTGTTTCCACACTTGCTTTCCTCAGCAACCCAGGATGTATCCCGTCCAGACCAGATGACTTATCTATGTTGAACACCCACAGTCTTTTTAGTATCGTTGATTTTTATCATATCCAATTTCTGTTCACACGCCTGCGATACTGTGGCATTAGTTGCATCGTATTCTTTTGTGAAGACAGTTGCAAAGTACTTATTTAGTACATCAGTCATGCCCTCTGCCTCAACAAGATTTAATTTGGGTCTCTAATTGGACCCACCTTACCTTTGAATAACCTTTTACTCTTGATGTGCTTATAAAATACCTTAGGGTTCCCTTTCATGTTTCCTGCTAATCTTTTCTCATACAATCTCTTCACCCTTCTTAGTTCTCTTTTCACTTCTCCTCTGTACTTCCTATATTCTAGTTGATTATCCTGTGTGTTTTGGACCTGACATTTGTCATAAGTCTCCGTTTTCTGTTTTATTTTAATCCCAATTTCCTTAGTCATCCAGGGAGGTTTGACTGTGCTACCTTTCGCCTTTGTGGGAATGTATTTGTTCTGTCCCCAAACTATCTCCTCCTTGAAGGCTTCCCATTGTTCGTTTGCTGTCTTACCTGCCAATCTTTCTTTCCAATCTACCTTTTTAGCTCACCGAAATTAGCCCGCTTCCAGTTGAGGGTCTTTATCTTTGATTGATTGTTGTCCTTTTCCATAACTATTCTAAACCTAATGATATTTGATCACTGTTATCCAGATGCTCTCCTACTGAAACCTGCTCCACTTGCCCCACTTCATTTCCCAGAACTAAATCCAGCACTGCTTCCTTCCTCATTGGGCTGGAAACATGCTGATCCAGAAAGTTCTCCTGCACATATTTCAAGAATTCCTCCCCATCCTTGCCCTTTACACTGTGTTTCCCAGTCTATGTTAGGATAATTGAAGTTCCCCATTATCACTACTCTATTGGTTTTGCATCACTCTGAATCTGCTTGCAGGTTTGCTCATCTATCTCCTTCCCACTATTTGGAGGTGTATGGTAAATACCTAACAGAGTAACAGCTCCTTTTCTGCTCCGAAACTCTTACCAAATAGATTCATTTCTATTTCTCTCTCCGCGTGCACTATTTAACTAATTTCCCCTCCCTGAAACTACATTCTGATCCCCATCCCCCTCGAAATCAGTTTAAACGCTTCCCCACAGTATTTGTTATTCTTGTTGCAATGACATTGGTCCCAGCCCTACTCGGGTGTAACCCCTCCCTCGTGTACAGGTCCCATCTGCCTCAGAGGTGGTCCCAGTGGTTTAGAAACTTGAAGCCCTCCTTCATGCACCATTTCTCCATTCACGTGTTTGATCCTCCTAGGTTGGTATTCACCTGCATAAGGCATTGGGAGTAATCCCGAGATCACCACATTGAGGTCCTGCTCATTAGCTTCTTCCCAAGCTTCTGATATACTCCCTGAAGGGTCTCAGCCCTTTTATCACCTACATCATGGATTCCGACATGGACCACAACTTCCGGATTTTCCCCTTCCCCCTGTAGTATATTTTCCACCTATTCCGTGACACCATGTACCCTGGCCCCAGGGAGGCAGCATTCCAGGCACGAGTCCCGTCTTTTATGGCAGAAACGCCCTTTAACTGTTGTATCCCTGATCACAACAGCGTTGGCGTTTTTCCCCTTGTCCCCCTGAACATCTATTACCTTTTGACTCTTCTCGCCAGAGGCGTCCTCACCGGCATCTAGTACCGAGAACCGGTTTGTGAGTGCAACACTCTTAGGGGATTTCTGTACTTCCTGTTCTTTTTTTGCTCTGCATCGGATGGTCACCCACTCACCCTTCTTTTTAGCCCTCTGTAGCTGGGGTGACCATCTCCTGAACTCTCTGTGGCTGTGGGATGACCACCCCCTGAAAAGTTCGATCCATAAATTCTTTAGCCTCCCATATACTATGTAGTGACCCTGAGCTCAAGCTCAAGCAGCAGGAGGCACGTCCTGCACACGTGTTTGTCCAAAACACATGAACCATCCTGGAGTTCCCACATGGCAAACAATGTGGTTGGAATGGGTCTCAGCTGCCCTGCCAGGTTTTCAGACATGTTTTGTAATGTATCTCAACAGTTTTGGGGTAAATAGGTAAAAACAAGTAAGTTCACACTTTTATTCCCTTGCTCACACTCCTTATATACTAACCACTGACCTCAACACCACCACCACAGGAATGTGACCTTTTGTGCAGGTTCTTGAGGGTTTTGTTTCTCCTTTATAAATTCTCACCTGCCCCGAATTCCCACTCTCACCCAATTCCCAAAAAGAATTCTCACTCTGTTCCTCCTCACTCCGTTCCCTCCTCATGCTCCTGGACTCTCTGCTCGAGTGCCCTCTTTTTCAACTTTTTTTATACACCAATGTACAAGTTGCAGAAATGGAGGAGAATTTAAAGGACTTAAAAGGACAAAAGCAGCTGCAGCGGAGGAAACAGTTTCAATGACATCATTGCCCTTCATACTGAATGCCAGGCAAAATTCACAAGTCATACCTCTGGATTCGCAAGTTATAAAAAAAACTGACTTTGACGCATACAATCTTAAGGAAGTTGCACAAAGAGTTTATTTAAGCATCGATAACAACAACAAAATTACAATGGAATAGCACCTTTCAGGTTGGGAGGATATCCCCATAAGCACTGAATCATTGAGACAACCCACCAGGAGTCAAAGTAGTCACAAGTTCCGGTGCTT